TTCATTTTTTACATATATTTATTGAATAAAATGAAAAAAGTAAATATATCTATCATGTTTTAATAAAATAAAAATATTCATAATTATTATTTTATTTTATACTTGTTTTAAATATATGTATATAAGAAAAAAAATGCAACTACACAAAACGAAATTCTGTATATAATATAATTACTAATCAACGTCTAGTGCGTTAGTTCCTCCACAGATATTGGCTAAGTCTCAGCTGCCTAAAGCCGATAATACCGGAGACTTGTTATATTGCGATTAAACAACTAGAGCGCTAGTTCATGCACAGAATTTGACTTTACGCGACTTATGTAATAATAAAATGTTTCCTTACTCTCGTAATTCTTATATCCTTGATAATATTTTAACAAAATTATAAAAACATGATTAGAAATTTCTCAAAATTTTGTTGGTGGGCAAACAGAGTATACGCACTCTACATACAAAATTAACCGACGTTGATGGTAAAACATATTATTATTGAATTATTTAATAATTAATCTTATGTATTTACCTCCAGTATTATAAACAATCCCTAAAAATAAAGTAATTGAAGCATTCTTAAACTATAAAGATACTCAAAAATTTATATAGCTTAATTGTAGACATTCATTTAATTTGATTTATTAAAGAAACAGTACTCACAATAATATTAAATACAGTTTTTTTTTATAAATGAAAAACTTGTTTCACAAGATCCTAGTTTATATTTATATTTGTTTAAATTAATCCAGTTGCATAATAATCGAATCAAGTTATTAAATTCATTAATATAAACATTGAAATACCAAATTAAAATAGTATTTTAACCATAGAAATAATTTTAAATTATTCTGGTATTTAAGTTATACTAGTCATTAGAGTTGTGGTCGACTAAGTTACACTTTAACACCAAGCTGTTAAAGTGACTGGCAACATCGAGTCCTCGACCCGCCATTATAACTTATGGAGCTGTTAAGTTTATATGGATCATTTGTAATATAGTTTACAGTTATTGCGAACAGTAAAACTGGGAAATCCTTGTAAGAAAACGAGCTAAGCATGTGAAGATCTAAAAGATGGTGTAATTGTATTCAAAGATCAATGTTAAACATTAATTTACATCATCATCATCATCACCAGCCCTTTTACGTCCCCACTGTAGGGGCTCAGGCCTTCCTTATGGATGGTTAAGGAGGATGGGCCATGACCTTCCACGCTGGCCCAATGCGGATTGGAGGGTATTAACAACTACAAAATGCAGCCGGGACCAACGGCTTAACGTGCCTTCCGAAGCACAGAGTAGCTCGAGATAATAATTTTTTGGTCACCCATCCCGTGACTGACCCTTGTGTAAGTTGCTTAACGACTACGATCGCGGGCCGCGGCGCTTATCCACTACGCCACCGAGCGACTAATTTACATATATTTTATAATATGTTAATAAGCTTTTATACTGAATAAGTACTGTTTTCTTAAAATAAGAATGTCTAAACGTTAATGTATGTTGTGACATTGTTTATAATATTTATGAAAACCCTTTTGTATAAAATCTGAGAAGGAACAGTCTAATAGAGAAACAAAAGAGTATAACGATGGTGTACTTCGGCTAACTACTTTTGTAAAGTAACAACAAAACCAACTAATTACCCTTTTTAACCAACGAATAAAGAAAAGAGATTCTCAAGTCGACGTATATATTTTTAAATTTTTTTTTTCCATAAATATGTTAAAGTTTTGATAACTGAGTGATTTTGGAAAAAGCATGTATTACGTTTTTTTTTTTAAGAAAAAATAAAATATCGAAAGAGTTATTGAACGATAAAATCTTATAGGTATTACCTACAGTATAATTGAAATCATATACAATGTGGACATCAAAATCATTAAAAAGTGCCCTAATATGATAAAGTTTATTTTGTATTTCAACTCTACCAACTATGCTTATTTAAACAACTTCAAACTCGACGTAGAGCGTAGCACTGTCACGTTCTAGAGCTTCAATGAAATTTTATCTTTAATGCTATGGCAGCGATGCAGTCAACGACGAGTTCGAGGATGTTTTTATAACAGAATAGCACTCATCATTATCATCAACGCGGATGGCCCAATGCGGATTGGAGGCTATTCATTATTAGCCCCGTTACGTCCCCACTGCGGGGACTCAGGCCTTTCTTATAGACGGTTAAGGAGCATGGGCCATGACCCTTCACGCTGGCCCAATGCGGATTGGAGGGTATTATCGACTGTAGATGCGGCAGGGAGCAACTTCTTAATTCATCCTATTTCCAATTAATTCCAATAATGTTTCAATTCTCCGTCATGAACCTGATATTATCTATTAATTAGTATAGGTAGGTAGAGGGAAAAGTATTGACCCTATTATACGTAAGTTACGCGAACGGAAGAGAATGTAAGACACAGTTAAAGTTTATATGGAAAAGTGTAAAATACTATTATTTGATTTATAAAAATTCATTATATTTATTTAAATAAATAATACACACACTACCATGCGCTTGACACACACGCATTTGTCTATAGTCACACTGAATGTTAAAAATAAACATCACATTAAGCATTTATTAAAAATAAGAATCATATCAAATAGAGGATAATATGAGGTTTAATTACTCTTTTATTTATTACTTAGGTTCTGTAGGTTATTTTTTGCTAGAATTTTGACAACTACGCGACTTTAAGTTTTATATTCAATCTTTTACCTCAATATTACTAATGAACCGAAATAAATCATAATTTACCAACAACGAATTCTTTCTTCAATAATATTATTCTTACATAAAACTAATGTAGGAAACCACTATAGTAAACTATGTCCGTCTGTATACGTTTGCGCAACCTGAGGTCGCTTACAACACCACCGGGCTTCTTACCAAACCACGACCGCTACCATCCTGACCTTCTAGCCTCATGTTTCTTAGTGAATTCTAAATTAAAAAGTCACTTGACGCACATGTATAATATACACATACAGCTTCACGTCAGATTACCACAATATGTCAAATTCATTGATTTTGAACTCTACCCTCAATGTATTAAAGTTTAAAATTGAGTAGGGGTATATGACTGATTAGTATAACCTAAGTTGCTGTTGAATGTACTTTGTCTTACGTTACACATATATTATGCGTAAATAGACAAACATACAATAGTTTCCACTTTATCCTTAACATATAGATAAATTATTTTTTTACGCCAGTTTCAAGGTCTCTGAGGTCCCGGGTTCAAATCCCGGTTGTGTCAATGTTATCTAAATATTTTTTTATTTATTATGAATAGTGATTTTCTGACGATATTTGAAAATTATTAAAATTGTATACAAAAATTAACAACTAAATATTCAAAGTAATAAATGATGAAGTAATTTAAAATTCAATATTGCACTCAGTACGTATGAGAACCTTCCTGAGATGGTTTCTACTCAATAAATTGACCTTAATTTTAATTTATTACGAATAAATAAACAAAACATCAACACATGATTTATATATATTTTTAGTATTTCAAACATGGCACGCTATTATTTTGTTTTAAATGCTTTATCTGTTATTTTTCGTGTATATTTTCATAATTAGTAATCAAATTATTTTTAAATATCACTACATTTTTCCTAAAATTGAATTTAAATAAATTCATTCAAATTTTGAGTATTTAAATTTTTTTCTTAAATGATAATTAACTTTTCAATATAGCATTGTGAATGAGAAATTGAGCAAACATAATAATAAACTTTCAATATAATAATTAAATTATTATATGAAAAATTACAGTAGACACGAACAATATTAATATATATTTCGAAAAGTACGTTAAACTAGATACAGTAACACAAAATGCGGTCTTATTGCTAAGGTAACAATCTCTACCAGGCTTCTCTAGGCTAAAGGAAACCATTTATGTAAAATAACTACAAATGAGAAAATTTATCATATACATAATCTAAAACAAATACATAATCTAAAAATAAATAAATAAAACATACGATAATAAAGTAATAGATACAGTGCAAGTTCAAGAGCAAATGTCCAGCCTGAGGAAATGTTCTTTAATAATATCTATAGACGCCTGCTATCCATAGGCAGAGAGTTCCATAGTTTGATTGCTTACCTGAAAATGACTTATCTACGAAATCAGTAGTGATAAAAGAGTTCCAAATAAAAAATATAAATTAATGAATGAACCATCTCGAAATTATTAGCGCTTCGTCACTCTTATAATTTTCTTAGTATAGGTTATCTACAACTATTTTAACAAAAGAGAATAGTAGCTATTTTGTTTAAAAACAGCCTATAACTCATCTGCGAGCGCAGTGTTATCATAGCATAGAGCTACAATAAAATAAATACTTTATTACTATTTTAAGTAGGATTTTATTTGTTTGAACTTCTACACACCGACAGTGTTACTGTTGTTGATTATTTGAAATTCATTCTGTGTTAGAGAATAACCTCTAACGTTTATAATAATTTATCTCCAATCTTTTTACGCCTCTTTTGTTTTTGTTAACATCCCAATCGCATTCATTTAAGAATTTTATATTTTGGTTTTAGAAACTTTATATATGCTCTTACCGTTTTCCTAATACTAGTTGATGTAGGTTTTTAAAGTTGTCCATTATCAATCGGCTTATGTTTTCAATCCCTATTTTTTTCTGAATATTTTTTAAAATTAACAAATCTTGCCAATCATCTTCTACACACACTATTTTATTTATTCAAATTATTAATGAAATTTGTTGATTACAAAACAATGCAACTTTGCGTATATTATAATGTTATGCTAAGAATCTGGTTCAATTCATATTCATCCGTTTCAAAATGTAAAAAGAATCAAATCTACAAAAGAGTCAGAATTCAAAGCTGATATTCTATACTAGTCGGTTGATATGCTGACATTAACACGTGCCGGAAATATCGCTTGTCGTAACATGGTGCTGGTGCTTTCTGGTGGATGTTTCGAGTATCGGTAGTGACATCTGCAAATGTCTGCAGGATGCCGACACAGATGGGCAGACCAGAGAGAAGAGGAAACTGGAGGGCCTCACCCAGGCCAAGTTCGGTGTCAAAAACGCAGTGCTGGGTTTCGTATTTGGGGTCAGTATTTAATTTAAGTGCTTCATAAATTAATTTGATGCGAAGTTTTATAAAAACTTTAAGCACTGACTGTCCTAATAGAATATTTAGACTTTTTAGAATGAAGTTTGAGAATTTATAAATTTGTTTTATTGAAATTAGTTGTCGATTGAAGAAAGAAGGGAGATAATGACGTTTCTTTTTCTTTCTTTTATAGAAAATAAACTCGATAATCGATGCGAAGACTCGATTGGTGGACACTCTTGACAAACAGAACATTGAGATTAACAAACAATACGGCATAGAGCCACCGCAGAACGGGCTCGCTTCTTTGAGCGGTATTGTGAGTCAAGTGTTGACGCCAAAGCTGCAACTTCTCGGACCTAAGATCCAAGCGGTGTCATCGTTGTTCGGCGGCTCATCTGGCTCTGGCTCATCTGATAGCCAAGGTGGGGGCGGAGGCGGACTCGGCTCTATCTTATCCCTCGTGACGTCCCTGTCCGGTTCCGCATCCGGCGGCGGCAGCAGTCCCGGTGGCACTGTCGAAACCGTAGATTCCTCTGAAGAAGATGAATCGTGATTTAACCTCTTTTAATTTACGACACTAACCTGTAAATATATATGAAAAAATAACTGCCAGTGTGATTGGATGCTTAAGAGGACATAGGGGCTTACTTTAAGTTGGGTAATGTAAGATTTTATGAGGCATGCAAAAATATAATTGTTAAGGCAAAATTGTATATTGTAAATATTGTTCTTAGTATGTTTAAATTTCTTTTCACTTTTTTTTACGTTTTATATTAACAGAGTAAATAAGATCTTTTTAGAATAATAAATTCCGTTTCTATATTGTAATTATTTGTTTGGTTTTGATAGTCAAAGTCGTCAATCGTGTTTATTAATTTTATGTAGAACCTATGAAAATTTATGCATTTTACGAATCATTTTAGTAATTTTTACCATCACATTCAACCTACTTAGAGCGACCTTGTCTATCGATGACCAATTAAATTGTCATTTTTGTTTATAAAAATGTATATTAAAAGTTAACCCAGTGAAATCTGTTGTAACAATATTTCAACACGCAACATTTTGGTGTGGTGTAAACAGTTATATTTTATTTTGTCGTTAGTGTCGTAATATATTCTATTAATATATCCCTGTGTCCTCTCCTTGTACAGTGAAATTTTTCTTTATAAAAAAAACCCTTTTATACTATATTTATATTGTAAATAGATTAAGAAGAACGAATTACTGGTGATAATAAAAAGTTTCCTCACATTTGTGATTTATTTGCACGTGGCACTTTGCACCCAGTTTGTTTGTAGATAGAGCACATATTAGTAACACAATAGCCCGATTCTGAATTTTAGCTTTTATAATTTTTTGTAGTTATATAGTACATAATGGGAACTGCCTAAGGGGTTCGACCTTATTGTTTTTGCCGCATTGTCTAATTACAACGAATTAATTTTCCACATAAACTATCCCTTTCATGAACAAGGTAAGTGGAAATAAGCATGTATAGGGTTTCTATTTCATAATCTAGTTTTTATATATTTTATAGGTATAAAATATATAAAAACTAGATTATGAAATAGAAACCGTGGCTTTCTATGATTTTATATGATACATGCTTCAAATAAAAAACTCAAAAAACGCACCGCTATTATAATAATTTTTACAATTTGTAAATAATGAATACCTAAATTAATTTGAGACCACCTACTCCTTGTTGATTCAAGTTTTCGGAAATGGAACACCATTACTCAGTTCAGTGTAATTCAGAATCTGGCTCTGTAGAGAAAATAGGACATAATGCACTATCAACATTTTCAACAGCACAGAATGGCGATATTAAAGTTTGTAAATCTATTGTCTGTATGCTGCTCGGATACACGTAACATAGAGAGAAGCAGTAATCATCATTACATAAACAGGCATCACGATTCTTATAGATTTGTTTCAAGTTGATACAATTTTCGTCTAAATTAGTATGGTACATTTGAAGGGTTATAACTGTTTGAATATTAAAATGAGTTAAAATATGATTTAACCTAATTCGAATGTTATTAATTTATTGGACGTTTAAATGGAATTAAATGTAAAGTTAAATAGACTACATATTTCTATACTTTAGATATCAGAAATAGCACAATAGATTGCAGCAGGAAGAGAAATTGGGAAGAGGTATATAATTCTATTAGAATTTGAAATTTGCTTAATTTTATTCTGCTTAAAGTGGAGAAAATTTTAAGCACTGAAAAACAAGTTATTGATGAATGAAACTTGTAATATTTATAATAATTCGTAGTTTTTTAATAATATGAATTACATTAAACTTCATTCAAATATATGGAAAAATATTCGAGTGAAGTAATATTTAATGACATCATGTCTGTTGCAACGGTTTATACATATTAAATATTATATGTATTTCATAAGTAAATAGCAACCATAGCTTTTGGAACAAGAGGGTCGGAAAGTTATATAACAATATAATATTGCAATTAGCAAAAATTTTAGTTGCTTTCATTGTTTCGAAAAATGATATAATATATATAATTTTAAAGTGATTTATTCAAAATGAGCACTTGAATATTTGAATAATTGTTCACGTTCTAATTCCTTTCGAACAAAGAGTTTGTCTTTCCGTAATTAATAGGAAGGCGCAATTATCTAAATTAAAAAAAAAATATTTAAAAACCGAATGTAGCAAAAAGAATATTATCAAATATTTACGTTTATCTTGGTAAAAAAAAACAGGAAAATTCTTATTTCAAATGTCATGACGTCGGAAAACAGTTTTTAACAAATTGCTAAATCGGTAAATAATACGTTAGTGATTAAACAAAAATATACACATGTAGAGGCATTACGTTAATTAATTTCTATAGTTTCTAGTCACGCCAATAACACTTACAACAATATGCTTATCTAGTCGTTTTCTTGTCTTTTATTTTGTAGTGAAAACGAAGCGCTTTTAGTTATATAGTCTTTACAAGAGAAAATAACATTTAACATGAAATTAATCAACATTTTGTTTCAAAAAATAATACTCAAAATTTACTAGACCGAATTTTTTTATAAACTATAATAACTAAAACCTAATATTATCAAGTAGTAATATGCACTATCCCACAGACACAGCCACATAAGAGTATGGGCTTGTTAACAGTGTAACCCAAATATATTTCTACATATAGTCAGTTTTTAGAGCAGGCAAAAAAAGAAACAAATACTACTCATATGTCTTAACATGACCCCCGAAGGCCTACTTTTTATTTGTCCAAAAACGTAATTTCTAATACGACTCCAAAGGAACTCAGTTTTCTTTAGTTTATGATGCAACGGAGGTAAGACCTGACACTTCCTCTAATGCACAAATTATCTTCACGAATTTATTTTAATAAAATTATAAGAACCATACGGAATTTTCTGAATTTTCGATTGAAGACAAATGAAATACGCCCTCAGGTGTCATTTCCATTCGTACGAGTTATAATTACACTAAGAAAGACTGCTTTTGTTGTACGGGCTGCTTTATCCCGTATATATACAATAGGCATTCTATCGCATAAACGATATATCTGGTTACGATAAATATCGTTTTATTTCAATCTTCACATAACAAATGGTATCATTTTATTTAGTTTGATTATTTTATATCACATTTAACATAAAATAATTGGTTTACTTTTAATGATAAACCATTCTAACTTATTTAGGAAAAATACAGCTATTAACAAACAATACATTAATCATAACTTATATAAATTTATAATAACACAACAAGCGATTTAATTTACTTGTAGAAATTAAAAATATTTAAAAACAATTATATAAACATAAATTAAATGAAATAAAAAGCTAGCAACATATATTGTAGAGTAAATTATTAACAGGTCCCTTTTTCTTGTCTGCGCTAGGATCAGATTATGGTTGTGTTTTATTAAAACTATTTTATTATATCATAGCACTATAAACACATTTTAAAGTAACAATCAACTGCTTTATTAAGTCGTAGATTATTCTAGTAGTTGTTTAACACCTTTAAGTTATGTAGTTTCACAATAGCACACTTTCAATCAAATGAATAAAGTTGATTAAGCTTACTCAAATTATGTCTATGGGTCAAGGAAGTACATATATCAGCATGTCAGTAACCTGATAGAAAAGGCCAAATTTCTACAATCAATCTTTGAGGTTTAATCGATTGGTGATATTTAGCCTTTTCTATTACTATAACATGCTGTCAATTGTATATTAATAACTAGCGCCATGAAAAAACCACCAACACGTAGAAACCTAATGCAGAAATTTTGTATTCTATATGAAATTAGAAAAACAGTACGTGTTTAATATGTATATTGTTAATAAATAAAATATTATATTTATTTTCAATAATTGCCTTTTTTATTTTAATCGTAAAAAATAGAAAAGTATATAAATAGGTAAAGAAAAACATTATCATTGAAGGTGTTAACGAAAGAAACTTAATTTGCTAATAAATTAATTGGTATCATGGACGCAAACCTATATATTTACTTATTGATTTAATAAACAGTAATCCTCATAAAATAAAATTAGCCTAGATAGACTCATTTACACTATAGGTGATGCTTACCTATTCAGAAGCATGACCTACGAGGTAGACGTCATATTGCTCAAACATATTTAAGAAAACATATCGACCTGTCACACGGCGTCACAACCCTAGAAATATTAAATACATACTATAGGGCTATATTATTATATGCATGAGTAAGTAAATACTCGTAGTATAGGAGCTCGATATCGCAAAAAAAATATGAAGCCCTTTTCACAAAGCTTGGCCATCGGATGTGTGACCAACAATATCTCATGCTCCTTCATGTTTCGAAAGACACGCCAAGCTGTTGTACCTGGCTGTATCTGCAGTATTTAGCACTCACTGATCCGTCCGCGTGGTAGGTTAATGATTCGTTCTATCCTTGAGAAGACTATGAGTTAAGCGGTGGAGAAAACAATAGATTGAATCTCATAAAAGAGTTTGTTTTAGTTTTGATTATATGTCCCAAAAGATGACATTATTTGTCCCAAGACATGAAGAATACATGCGCAAAAACTACCTCAAACCGATTTAAGTCAAGTATCCGCAACATCTACATTCATTAATACTGCCAATTAACACTGATCCTGCGTTCTAGGTCATAAGTGTATTAAACCAGTAACTAACAGTGGGAACATTATTGATAATAATGATAGTGATGTCTGTATTTATATCTAAAATATCGCTATTAATATTATTAAAATTATAACATTTGAAGAAGTCCACTAGAATTATCTTTCAGAAGTCCATTGCTATGATGTGTACCATCTTCCACATCCAGTTAGTATCTGCAAGATTTGCTGCGCATGTGAACTAACTACTGTGAAATGGCTGCTAATACCGCAACAATCACAACTTTACGTGTTGCACCCTTCCATGGAGTATCCTTAGGCGTTGTTAGACCTCACAGTGCCAACCACAGGTTGTTGTGAAATTTGTTGCCGTTTGTACATTTGAGCTTGTGGTTAAGCGGTGTACAGCAGGTATTTAATATAGTAACTGGGTGTGGAAGATGCTAAATGTAAAAGAATTTTAGAGCTATTTTAATGCAAATTAAAATGTTAAATTATAACGTCGAATAATTTCGTATAAAATTCCATTTTGTTGCAGATTCATGTCTGCTCTTGAATTGAGGAGGTACTGATTGATTGATTGACGAAAAGAAATAACTGAAAAATAAAAATATGTATCAATAACTAGAAAATAAATAATCTACAATTTTGTCTTCGAATAGAGAATAAGAGCTTTCATAACTATAAAAATATAATTGGATTTCACCAGAAAATTTTAATTGCATAGCTCCGATACTTTAGATTTAGTTGTTGACTCACTTATTGATGATCTTCAAAATTTTGTTCAAAACTTTCTGAAGCCGCAGAAAGTTGAAATATGGTATATAAACTAGCCTTCTGCAAATTTTAAGACATCATTACAGAGAAGCAGTGTACTAGGAGTGTGATATAAATAATAAAATTATAAAAACATTTCATACAAAATGTTATCAAGACGACACTGTATGACTCGCACTTCAAAAAGTTATCAAATCAAAGGTAGAGCCAACCTTCTAAATAAACATACAATATTTAACTCTACAAACACTACACCTCAGTAAAACATGCTTGCAAACGGTCTAACCATTTTGCTACTGTCACGTAGGAGTACTTTTACTATATGTCTGTACTATTCAATATTTCTCTGTTACAAGTAAAAAATAGTTCTCCTAAATCCACGGAATAACTGAGGATTTTATTTTCTATCTGGTACAACCAAAGTTTTAAGAGTTCAGAAATACGACGAAGCGTTTCGGGAAAAAATAGTGCCCATACAGTCTTATCGGCCACTCCCGTGCTCCTTGATATATGTTTCAGATTTTTGATAAATTATCTTTGGGATTAGAGAATAGAAGTTTGTGCAGGTTTTCCTACCTTGGCTTTTTTTTTCTACCAATAACTATCGTGTAATAGAGAAGAAGGGCCATGCACAGAGATTTTGGGTAGGGTATGCAGCATCTACCTAAATTGAAAAAACTTACCAATTTTCAATATAGTTTCAGAACCTGCCAATGAGTCTAGGAATCATCCTATGATCATCAGATTATTTATATGTTTTTTGATCACCATGAACATCGAAATGTAACTCATTTACAAACCAACACATTTTTTTTTATCGAAGTAGTAAGAACTACTGAACTGTTAATACTTAATGCCTATTATTTTAGACATTGCCACTGACTGGCCGATAAAACGTTTGGTATCAATCTGAACAATTCCTTAATTTTTATAAATTAAATCAACGTGCATATCTTTTTTAATACTTAATTCAGTAAAACATTGTCGTTAAAATGACAAGGTTGTTTTAAAAGTTCGTTACTCACTTCAATCGTAACTATTAGTTATGCTAATTTTGTAAACTTCAGTAAATATGGTTGTTAAATTATTTGTATGTACATTTCGAACGCTTGCCGATTATAACTATCATAATACTTTAAATTAAAGAACGATTAATATTACCTTCTTTCGTTAAATCTAACTTGGACATACACATTCCCTTGACAACTATTTTAAACTCTTTTTCAAACGAATACAAAAATGCATTCGCATTTAATTTATCTCCAGCACAGAGCAGAAAAAGCAGCTCTGTGCTATAACTTCCAAAAATCATCGGTAAATAAATCATAACGTAATTATTTTATAACTTAATGTTTAAACGATAAACCGGCCAAATTAAATAGTCCCTTTGCGCAAACTCTACTCTTTTGATGACTTCTTAATTTAATCAGGTTGCGATAACCAGTGCCTCGCAAAACACACATGTAAATGATTTCTTTGTACAACTCGAGTTTTGACTTGTCATATTTTTATGGCGAGTAAGCTGTAAGAAATGCGGCTTACGGCGTATCGGTAGCGGCGACGCCAACGTAGAGGTCGGTTGAAAATATTCCTCTCATTAGATCATTATAGTAGTTCGATCAACTTTTGATAGATGGCACTTTTACTAATTTAACCAAATCATGATCATGAGTCTATCAATACTCGTATCGAGTTAATGTATGAATATGTAAGAATTAAACAATGTGGTTTTGTTTAGTTGGGTTGTATTGTGTATTGGGTGTAGAAAAGGATGGAATAGTGTATAATTTTTCCACCTTGCACCCATATCGAAACTACCAAGTCAATTAGTTTGACTAAGATATATCAGCTTTAGTTTGTAAAGTTAGGGTTGGAAGAGTAGGACGTGTAGAATTAGAAGGTTGTCTATAAATGATCTGATAACATTTTGATAGTTATTAGGATTAGATAAAAAAATTAAGATTATTTATTTAAGATTGTCCATGTCATAACTAAAGTGAAAATCAAAATAATACTGGTTTGTACACACCAACAATTAGATTTCATATACCACAGAAATATTTGCTGTAAAATTAATATATTGCCATAATAATCCTCTTCCTTTGTAGATATATTAGATGAAATTGATTTCCGATTACAATTTGAGAACCTCTTTGGGCAAAAAGCTAGCTAATACATCGGTTACAACCTAGCTAAAACTGTGGTCCTGATTCGGTCAATGTAGAAGTCGAACTTTTCTCTTTATTATATTATCTTGTCTAGACTGTTTAGGTAGGATTATCTCTGATTGTATAGAAGAGGTCCTTTAACTCGAAATTATATATTTGACTTTTTATTTTTAAAGCCTTGTCTTTTTAAAATTTGATCAACTTCAGGATGGCATTACATCCCACCGCCAGGCGCGGTCCACGGACGGGAGCCCCGCACGCGTATCGTTGTTCCCGATATCGAGCAATCCGGCGGGTTCATCGAGCAATCTGGCGGGATCGTTGAGCAAATCAGCGGGAACGCTGGCCAATCCAACGGTATCGCTGGCCAAACAGGCGGGTTCGAGATCGTCGAGCAGCCGCACCAACACCTCATTGAAGTCACCAGCGGCGGGTACGGACAGAGGCACCCGTCAGGCGGACGATATCCCCGTGTTCGATCGCAACAAAGTCTCCCTGGACTTCCCGGGCAGTATGTTTGGGCCTACACTGTCGCTCCTGATTCGGACCACTAAGATTGTCGGTGATGTCATACAGGTAAAAAGCTTTCTGTTATCAAGCTGTTTGGATGTTGTATCTAACAAGTGTGCAGACGCCTATGTATAAGTTAAATATGAGTAAGTTTATTAAATAAAAACATTTAATATTTTCGACTGATTCACGAGAACGACTTGCTTCAAATTCAATTTACGAGTAATATTAGAGTCAAGCTACATCAAATGTTTAATGAATAATCTGTGCTTTGTAATGAATTCTAAAAGGCGTTTTGTTGCTGTTTTGTTTAAAAGTTGAAGCGACGTCATGAATTTTTTAATTCTTTAATGATAAATATTTTTCTATTACAATTATCATACATTTAACTCTTAATTTTTATTGCATTGTATACATGGACCTCATAAATTACTCAAAAAATTAATGAAAATTCTTTCAGCACATTACGAGTTCATCGTGTTCATACGAATACTAAATACCACGCAGAATTTTTGGTCATAATGACCATAAAGTAAATTTTAGAGATATTTAAAATCCCAGTTAAGACTTACACGAGCGTCATACAATATTTAAATTAAAAATAATACAATAAGATTTAAACCTTGACAGATAAACTGTGCTTATTTATGTACAGTTCAATAACAAAATAAGGCTTTAAATATTTTACTTTTGTTAACTTACAGTTATTGTAGACTTGTAACCGAACGACCTTCATTCATATTTAGTGAGTGCAGTAGCGACTGACTTGTTGTCATTGGCACTAAAACAAACTTTAAATTTTCATATATACGTAAAGTGAGAGGTACCTACAGTCGAGTTGAAGTCCATATTCCTTTTGCTGTTAACAGTGGCGTGATATGTAGATATTTTAACTTTATACGACGATAGTAATTCCAAGCGCTAAACTGTAAACACAAAAGCTAAAACAAATATTTATTACATCGTCTAAAATGCTTGAATACAGAGTTTATGATTTCAACCCATTTATCACCATAAAAAGTAACCTATTTAAGAAAAATATCATCAATAAGTTGAAGTTATATGAACGGGATATGACCTACTTTGCGGGCTCAGTAGAGATCGGTGGGTGTTAAAGATTACAGTTGCAACCAGGATCAATGGCTGAACTTTTCGAAGCACGAGTTGCTCGAGATAATAAATTTTGGTCACCCATCCTATGACTGTGAAAATAACTTAACTGATAATGTTTGATTAGATAAAATGAATTCGCTTCGTTCGATTTTCTCAGTAATTGCTATATATTGTAATCTGATCCTTTGGTTTTTCATTACATTCCAGAACTCTGCGGTACGCTATCAGACCTTCCTGCGTTTGTTCCGGCCGTTGTTCCGAGGACCTTTCGAGATCAAAGGGCTGGATCCTGCGACCACTACCACGACAACTACGACCACTACTACCGCTGCTCCAGCCAAAACGTCTGACAACGAAATTAGACGTTAAGCGATACGGTTAATCTTGACAGCCAATAGATGAAACCAGTGTAGTGTTTAAATTTCATGAATAAAACTGTCGATATTTCAGTTTTATTCATAAAATTCTCACTATCTTAAGAACCGTAAAACTGTATGGTTTTACGGTTATATATCTATCTATCGTTAATCATGACATAAACTGTGCATTATCTTATTTTTTCATACTTGTTACTACTAAAAATTGTAAAATAAAAGTTAAGTCACATCTTGCAATTTAAACATTAAGCTGATTTGAAATAGATTAAATGTATTTTCAAATACAGTTATGATAAGGTATCATAATATGTATATATAAATCTGGATATTTTTTTTATAACAAACTTAAACATGAAATTGAAACACCAGGGACATCTGTTGGCTCTCAAACATAACTGTGACGTTTCACCATAAAAGAAGGGTTCTATTCGTCAAATACAATATCTTCAATTTACTTAGTGAAATTTCTTTGACAAACTGAAAAAACATTACAAAAACTGGTTAAAACATTCCATGTGTTAAATAATTTTTACTTATCGAAGTATTGTATTTGTCTATGTGTAATATGAAAGTTGGTCAGTTTATAAGGATCATTATAGTCTTCATATAGATAGATATTATATTGTATTTACTGTGATTAATAAATTAGATACCTTCAGGTGAAATGAAAAAAAAAATTGCCTGTATTGACAAATACAGAGTTAATATTTAAGAAATTAGTGCCAATATGTGGAAGACACATTTGTTATAAACGTTAGAAGAGAGGCTATTGGAATATGTTAATTATGTATAGTGATTGGCCGACGATATAATTATTATCAACGTGTTGATCACCTGATGTTTTTGTTAATGAAATCATTATACAACGTCTCCAAAATTCAACGATAAGCGGGCGCCAAGAGGTAGACCTGCTCATGTGTACTTATGGAAAAATAAGAAAAAAATTATATCTTATTAATCTTTTTTATTATAAAATAAAATTCGAAAATTTTCGAAAGAGTTGTAGCGAATAGTAGTGCTACTTAGGTATCCGATACCAAAAAAAGATTGAACATAATTGAGAAGTTGTGGTCGTGGTAGTTGAAAATATCATAAAAGGTGTAAATTTTCGAAGATTTTCGAATTTAATTTTATAATAAAAAAGATTAGATATAATTTTTTTCTTATTTTTCCATAAGTACACATGAGCAAGGGTACCTCTTGGCGCCCGCTTATCGTTGAATTTTGGGACACGTTGTATATTAGTTCATTAATACATTATGTTTAATGGTGGGAAAGGCAAACAAGTCGTTTGTCATATTACAATATATAGAACAGTAATTGGTGTTATAGCACAAAGTGGAGTTATAAATTTTAGTCGAAATTCGAGGAGTATGTAATGGTTTAAATAGGACTAAGTAAATGGATATTAATACTAATATTGTAGAAAATGTAGTGAAGTTTTATCTAAATTAAGTATTATTTATTAAAAATAATAAAATAAGCAATGCTTACATTATTTTCTCAGATTCGTTTCAGATTTTTTTATATGAGCAGTGCCGGCCTGAGCGCTAAGTGTAAGTTTTTTTGACGTTTACGTTCACTGTCGATCGTGAGCGCGTTAAGATTTTAGTATGGAATCCGGTACAGCGCCTCTAGCGGTAACTACCAAGAACTACAAATCTCCATACAAATTCATAACGCGCTCACTAGTGAATGCGTTAGCGTAAAACTTACACTTACCACTCTGAGCGCTTAGTGTAAGTTTTTTTGACGTTTACGTTCACTGTCGATCGTGAGCGCGTTAAGATTTTAGTATGGAATTCGGCACAGCGCCCCTAGCGGTAACTACCAAGAACTACAAATCTCCATACAAATTCTTAACGCGCTCACTAGTGAACGCGTTGGCGTAAAACTTACACTTACCACTCTGACCATAAGCAAACTAAGCCGCTGCCTAGGGTGCTCGTATTTGAGGGGCAGCATGTCGTGGCAAATAAATCATGTTTGCTCGAACCTTGAAGATAGTACCTTAAAATATTACTTCCGTACTTTGAACATGAGTCGATGCTTGGATATTCAAAAGTAGCTACAACATTTTCAGACGAACAGTAGCTAAAGAGTTTATTTTGACATCGATAAAATTACTCTTTAATCGGTTTAACTACATTAGTCTTTTATTTTGTTGTGCTTTTTTTTATTGTGTCGTAAAAATCGTTCCAGTTTTCCAAGGGCGCCAAGTTTCGTTGAGTCGGCACTAAATATTTGTTATATAAGAAATGAATATTAGGTTTTAAATCAAAATAATATTAAAATAAATAGTATAAAATCATTATTAAAGTAATATTATTACGCAAAACTAATATTATTATATTAAAAACTATTCGTGCGCCTGACATATTGGTCATAGCAAATGTCAGGAAGGACAACATCAAGTACATAAAGTAAATAAATATACCTATCCAACCATGATCTTGTAGCTTTGGTATACTTAACGAATTCTTATAGAGAAGAGACTGATAAAATACTTTTGCTGTTCTTTGAAAATGTTATTTCGCTTTTAGATAAATCACATGATAGCACGTCAGATTATTACAATAATGTCTAATTTCCGGAAGTTATATTGTAATTTACCATCTATCTTTTAAGGTTTGAAATTAAGTAAAGAAATGAGACAGTTTTGAATAACCTGACGTGTTGCTGACTATGTCTAATTTTTATATAGCTATCTAGTAAAACTGTTGAAATACGATTAACGAAATAGTAATGTAGTTAGGTATACAAGGAAAGTAGTTTAAGTATATATTAATAATCACAAAGTTAAATATTAATATAGAGGCTCAAACATATTATCTAAGAACTGATTATACATGTACATATAATAAATGCGTGGCACATAAGTTGAACGAGGTTGAACTGAAATGGCGAGTCGCAGGTACAGTCATGGACTCTAGAGTGCTTTGCTACATTACATTTTCACCTCGATTAAGGCCATAAAATGTACATACTATTACTAGAAGTTCAACAAAGGTGCCGCGATTTGTGTGTCAGTAAAAAAAAACATTTTTGACACTTGTTGCCTTCACCAATTCATTTTTCTTCTTGTTCTTTTTAATTAATGGCGTGACCTTTGTGGATTTCTACAGAATCCAGTGTTTCGCTCAGATTACTTTATACTTTAGTATTTTATAAACTCTGCTGTTTATATGTAGGTAGTGAAAGTCAAGTTAAATTTTGAATTTTCTTGAAGTTATATTATACCTACTTTAAAGAGACTTACACAAATTAAGTATTAAAGATGTTAGAAAATTCTATGACTGTCAAATCAAAGACGTATGTATTACTCTTAATATAATTACATAGGTTGATCACGAACGGGAAGTTAACATATCTTAAGATGGTTTTAAAATTTGTGGGTTTGGGAATATATGAGGGAACGACGAGGATTTATGACAATTGGAAAAAATGTGGTCGACTGATCCTACGTCCAACCCGCATTCACAAAATATGTCTTTGATCCTAATTTTTGCTAGGAAAACGGGAATGTTTGGGTGCCAAATGACATATAGTGAATGTACAGTCTCACCAATTCATTAGTCAAACTTACCAAACCAAATCATATCATAATAAACTTGCAATGATTAGTTTGAATTATACATTCGCTGAATTAAAAAAAAAAATCGCCAAAATTGGTTTCATTCATTTTGTACAGAATATAATTTTAATACTTACCAAAAGTTTCATATTTTATAAAACCATCAAGCAACAATCTCTATTTTGCCAAACAAATTAATGAAGAAGTTTTATGACAAAAACCATTTGCACTTGTGAGATTTATCTTCCAGTATTGCCAGAATTAAAATAATTCTGCGACTATTCAAATACCGACAATTATAATAATAAAAAAGTTAAAAAATAAAAATGACATTTAAAGTAAAATTGTAGTAAAAATAAAATAAAATCATTCTAGTTGCATTGATTATATGTACTTATTTGAAAATCAAGAATGAAGCCGGTATATGCCGGTACACATTGTGCTACAATATGAATAAATTCCAAACGTAGATAAGCAATCATCTTGCATCACAAAAATACGAATTAGGCAAAATTGTGCACATAGTAATTTTAGGTGCGATGTCAATATTGGTTAACAGTTCGTTATCGAAAAGAGTTGATTAAAAAGCCTAGTATTATTTCAAAAATAAACTGTTTCTAATCATATTTCATCTTAATTTTAATTCCAATCTATTTCTTTATTTATTGCTTTTGTTTTGTATGTCTTCTGTATGAATTCATAGCGTATGATTGTTTGATTTACTTAATAAATAAATTAAAAATATCAAAGCTCTTTCTTTCTATCCTTTGCATATTTTTAAGGGTTCCGTACACAAAAGGGTAAAACAGGACCCTATTACTACGACACCCCTGTCCGTCCGTCTGTCTGTCTATCACTAGGCTGTGATGACAATTGGATTTTAAACAAGTATAAAATATATTGTTAATAACACGACTACATGCACTTCGAGATAATTTATTTAAACTGATAAGAGTCACGGAGGTCAACCAACTTGCTATTTTGTTGATCTGTTCTTAAAATTAATACGCAAGAGGTCTATAATATTTTAGTATGAGCCTAGATGTCCTGATTTAAGTTAATTGCTTAAAATCAAGAGTTCATTTCTATAAAAACTCAATAGTTCTTAATAATAATACTTTATAATAATATTATAGGTAACTCTTTGGTCACCTATATTATTATTATAAAGTGGAAAGATTGGATTGTTTTTTTTTTGTATGTTGGTTGCGTTGAATAAGCTCCGAACTTCCTTTCACTCTCAGATTTATGCCGTCAAAGTCACGACAAGCCGCCAAAACAGTTTGTTACAAAAAATAAATCTCAATTTAAATCATGACCTTGTTAGATATAGGGTGAATATTTCATTTCGTGCAAATCCTCCTTTTCGACGAACGCACAAAAAAGTGCCCAAAAACTATCTTTTATGGTTTATTAAA